ACACACACACACACACACAGACACACACACACACACACACACACAATGCTGTCATATCTCTGCCTTCAGCTCCACCTCCACTCTTTTCTCTCTGCTAACATGCACACACATATATGGGCATATCCCTCAGCACTAAGGGGGCATACACATGCTACAGGGTACCTGTGCAACTCACTACATGTCAGTGTGTGTGTTTGTCAGTGTGTGTGTTTGTCTGTGTGTGTGTTTGTCTGTGTGTGTGTTTGTGTGCGTGGAAAGTTACTTGTTTATCGAATTGTTGGAAAAAGGATGAAGTTAGGCTCTTAAGAGAGTGTTACTGTCTGATGTTGTAGAGAACACAGGGTGAGATGATGATAAAAAAAACAGTAAAAAAAGACACACATGCAGGCACACACACACGCACGCACGCACGCACGCACGCACGCACGCACGCACGCACGCACGCACGCACGCACGCAATCACCCGACAGCGATGGCATGCGGAGCAGGATACCTGGACAGATGGCAGACAGTCATCCCGTTGGACCTGCCATCAGTGCGCTGCCTGAGAGGAAGAGGAGAACAGAAACAGTTTAATCTATTCTGCTCTTCTTCTATCACACACACACACACAAACACTCAAAAACACACACTACCCTAAGATCTGCATTTACAACAAAGGCACACCGTATGGACTCCGACATGCATGTTTGTGCGTTCTTGCCTGTGTTGAGTCACTGAATAACGCAAGTGTAAACCGCTCAAGAGAACATGTTGGTAAAAATATTTCGAAGTATCCGCAGACTGGCAGCACAGATACCATTTCACAGTCTGTAAAATAACCCAACCATTTAAAGCACAAGATGAGCTGGAGGACTGTTTTATTTGGAGTCACTGATAAATCATTGTTCAAATCCAGGCAGCAAATTGTCTGGTTTATTAGTATCAGCTTGAACTCTGACACCTGGATTCTTTTCATGGGATCTAATTACCATTGATTTTTTCTCTGTCAAATGTTTGACTGTGGGACGGGAGGTTGTGGCTGTTGCTGCGGTGAACATCTCCGCTTGGTATAAAACCCGCCTGCGACTCTGATGCTCCCCATTACAGGGAGGAGCGATGGATTGAGTCGCTAACAGACTACCAAAACCCACCACTCCAGCCTAAATCACATTTCAAAGCATAGAGGAGTCTATTACAGGAAATTAGAAAGGCCTTGGATCTCAACAAGCCTATCCTTCAATTTTATTGAGTCTTCTCAGTAGCCCTTGGTGTATTGTGTATACTTGTCAATAGCAATTCGTCTACATGGGTTGTGTTGACAAACAGCATCAAGCGTGTATGTGCAGCTCACAAACGTGTACATTTGTGTCAATGCACACTCACACGTGTCTCCTTGATCCTGCCCTTGCGAACAATAAGGTATAAAATTGTTTTTGTGATGTTTAGAGGAGAATTTCATTGAAGATTTTCTAAATTCCAATCACATATTCAAGTGTGAAGCATGTGACAGCCTCTTAAAATATACTATTATAAAATGATATTGACAGTAAGAGTGAAGGAAACATTGCCAGTCACCAGTGTGGTAAACGCTGGCAGGACATATGGGGCTGTGTTGTTGTTGTATTTTTTATCCTGAATAAATTGGATGTGTACTTTCTCTCCATTATTGCCCTATAAACATAGAAATATCAAATCCAGATTTTCTGCAGTTTAAATTCAAACATCCTTTCCTCCAGACTTTTCCTTCATTCTCAGGATATACAAGTGTACGTTCTTGCGGGCAGCTATAAAGATTCCTAACCTTCTCCCACATTTCTCTTTAGGCTTCAAATATACCTAGACCCCCTCCAAAGAACCATCAATCCTCCCTTTTCACACTCCTGCCGTCTGTCTGCGCCTGCAGAGAGCCACAACTGACGACTCACGTGGATCATGTCAGATAATTTTGTGGTGGAAAATCAATAATGCAACTGTAAATTTCATTTAAATAAACATTAGTGGCCTACTTAATTAATGAAACCTCATCTGCAATTTGTCAGTGTCAGGAGTGCTAACCCCTTTGATGTTGGTATGAATATTCCTTTTCAGAAAATGAGGTTCTTGCACGATTAGTGCTTATTGTGGCGTTAGCCTCTTCCTGCCTTCTCCGCTGCTGCAGCCTGAATTTGCACAGAGCTCGTTGAGTGTACACAACATCACCAGATTAAAATCATTTACTGTGCACAATGAGAGGCCATAAAATGGATGTGGGGAAACATCATGAAAAATAGCAGGGGGAATATCTAATGAATCTAATCTACATACAAGCAACCTGATCAAATGCTTGAGCAATTTCAAAGGCCATATATCAAACAGTACATGACATTAACATCGAATCAATAACTGGGAGGTCCACACCCATGAGCAATAACGCTGAGCGTTAATAACCAGCAGGGACATGAGAGATAAATAATAGGGAGAAATATAAAACAACACACTATCATAACGTGAGATGAGTATCTGACCTGTCCTTGTCCGTGTGCACAGAACAGCTGCTCATGACCCAATTTCACTGGGATGCATAATTCATTGGTGAGCTCTAAGACTTCCACACCACTATAAAAATATTCATCAAAACAAGTTAGCAAATCCATTTCTGCAGACTTGCTCACGATCCCTCGTTTCGACATTGCAACTGCTTCATTAGTTGGGAGAACAACTCATAAAGGCTTCACTGACCTAAATAAGTCAAGCTGATCAACACATCGGCCAAGTTGATAAGTTTAAAAGATTCAAGATGGTATAAAGAGACTTGACTCATTAACCATGAAACTAAAACTGACAGACTGACAGCGGTTCAACCATGAGGAACAGAGAGTACCTTGTCAAATTATTTTTGGAAACAGTATTTCACCTAAAATCCTCAAGCAAAACATGAAATCAAGAAGAACAATAAATTAGAAATGTTAAAACACCATTATCTCCCATAATTAAAAGAAAGGCAGATTGACACATTTCCTACCATTCGTCATTTCTTTAATAATTTTTTTATTATCTTCTCTTTTCATTTTCCACTTTTAAATTAACCAAAAACAGAACAGACTGTAGTGTATCCGGCTGTGCTTTTGTTGCGCTGCTGCTGATAAAAAACAAATGAACTAGAGCAACAAATAATAACAGTCTGTTATTACTGGGTACAGTGTGCAGTAAAATACACTGACATGTGTTTCAATACCCAAAACCCAATTGTTCTTGGGAACAATTCAACTGAACTGTATTAAAACAAACTGCATCCTTTGAATATATTCAAAGCTTAGCAGACAGGTATATGCTTCAACCAGTATATAAACAAAGAGCAAAGAAAGATATGGTAGTAAATAAATATATGAGCTGGCATCACATTTTTCTGTAACACTTTGTATCCAGCCACTTGCACCAGATGAGTACATCTGTTCCACAGGAGTGAACGCACCCAGTTCATTCATTTTTCAGCAAAATCCAGGTTACAGAACGGAGCCAAAAACTGATTAAAGCTCAAGGTATGAAGGAGATGGAATAAGGAAAATGGAAATCACCCCCATCCCTTATTTGGGACACCTGAAATAGGCCAGAGGCTGATTTCCTCCTATCAGAGGAGCCCCAGAAAGCCTGAGAGACTGGAGGGAACAGAGGAGAGGGAGGAGGTGGAGGGACGATGGCAGTGGTGGGGGGATTCAGCAGGGGCCTTAAGTGTGCTATCATAGGCGTCTCTTGTGCCTGCCTGCTTTATTTGCAGTAGTCAGGTTAATGAGTCCACCAGCCCACTTGATGTTGAGAGGCCTGCCACAAAGAGCTGCCTCATTAGAGCTAGCCTGGCACATTGCTCTGAGACAAAGGGACATTCACGCTACTGAATGCCTTTACCCTCCTCAATGCTGCCAGCCTGCGAGGGCCAACGCCGTGGCATAGCCCCCTGCACACGTCCTGGCGCTTGGCCAGCCACGCCACGACCCTCAGCCTGGCTGGATGGACTTGCGGCGCAAGAAAAGAGTGAAGGATAACTTCATCAGCCACAGCCAGCCACGCATCAGGGTGTGTGTGTGTGTGATTGGAAGAGAGCCTGTGCAAAAGCCACTGCAGGAAGCCAGAGGACATGCTGCCTTATCGATGAGTGCGATTGGTTCTCCTGCTCTCAGCGGCGTGTGTGACGGAGCTCTCCCCCCTGCTTTTCTTCCTCGCTTTATCTTTGCATTCGTCACCAGGCTTCACCTCAACATTCCCTTTCTGAACAACTCACAGCTAATAGGGCTAAACAATATGTTTATAGACCATAAAAAAGCTGTTCTGACCTCAAGTAAACAAATAGTTTGACAACATGAATACAGTGCAGATACTTTAGGAAGCCACACCTGGAGAATCCCTGTCTGTGATGCATGCTGCTTTATCAGCCAGGGCGCAGGTCTGACTCCAGGTCTAACAGGAGCCAATGCAAGGAATCCAAATGTCACTGCTCTGTGCAATTTCATGCTTCACAACTGGAGGTTGAATTATCTGTTTCAATGAGAAAACAAGATCATCACCATAAATTAAGCCCTTTAACTATGTGGAGTTTTGCAGGAACCTCAATGTAATTAAAAAATCTTTAATACACAAATAAAACCAGACAAAAGGCAGCATTGCAAGGTCTTCACAATAAATAACAAAAACTATCAAACCAATACAGTGACATGGATGATTTTAAAATGTGTATTTCAAACCTTTTGGTCGATGCTGTTATATCTGGAAAAAAATCAAATAGGCACTATCAAATTTTTATTATATCCTTCAAAATTTTCATCTCTGTGTTTTAAAGCTTAGTCACTGATCATAAATCCACCAGAGCACAAGATAATACATCACACTTTTACAGAAAACTGTGCAAGGACTTAGATGTACAACAATAAGGTGAGCATGACCAAACACCCATATCTCATGATTGATGCACTGGCAAATATCCAGTTTACCTCTTCCTTGGGAGTAAAAAAAATCTATTTCTCTCAACGCTCGGGGTCAAGAGTTAAATATTTTCTGCATAGGCAAGCCGCTCTTTCTGCCACACTATTTATAGCGCAGGCAGAAACAGCTGAGCAGACTGCAGTGATGTCACTTGCGCTGATGGAATGCTTTGTTCCACAGCGTGTGCGCATGCCACCTGGGTCTGTGCGAGCGGCGAGGGGAAGCTCAATGCAGGAGCCAAGATGGCCGACAGTTGCCCCATTTTTCAAGTGTGAAAAACCATCACTATCTTCTTCACTCAGGCTGTCCACGGCCCTAAACGCACCACACACCCTTAAAGAAGCATTCAGCCCTCTGTCACGGCTCTGTCTATTAATGTCACGAGAGATATCGGTATTTGTGGCTGCCATTTAGAGCGGAGCACTCATGCCAAAGACGAGAGGCATCAGGGTAACTGCACACTGCAGCTGAATAGAAGCAAAATGACACGCAGGGATTTAAAGCTTTTAACTGTTTGTCGTTCTGTGCATAATGCATATGGCCATCGCGTTGGAGAAGTACTATTCCCATATATATTTTTAGTAAGCCTTTGGGCTTCTTCCAGTGTCCCTAAAAGAGCATGGTTGCCTGGCAACCATTATTGTTGCCATGGAGATTCATGTGTTGGCAGCTGCTGCAATCAGCATTAACTCAAGGCACATATTCTCATTCCAATAGTCAGGCGATGGGAAGGCAACTAGGACACGCAGTCAGAGAGGGATAGTAATCAGAGTGAAACATATGCTCATCCATTACTCGCTGCATTAATACAATTATATCAAAGGAAATTTATGACTGTGCTTTGGCGCAATGATCACATTGCAGGCAGAGGCATAAAATTCCACCTCATAACAGATCCCCACTTTCATTTAATAAATGGCACCAGGCTGTAACACGATGGAAAACAATGCCATCGCATCTCCGACATAAACGTATCTGTTAGAAAATGGATTTCTTCACAGTCACATTAGAGAACAGTCATTTGTTTTCATTTTGCTCTGAAAGAACCAAGGTGGGGGGAAGAAAAAATGTGAAAAGCTGCGCACACCCTGCGTTTGTCCATGTTACCAACAGTGTCCTGCTGTGATATGTGTAAGAAGCACATGTAACAATATTGTGTAAATATTAAATGATTTTTTGAGGGAACTTATTGTAAAATGAGCTGTGCACCATGTGGGAGACAGTGAGTCTTATGCTTAGTGATAAATTTGAGACTTTCAGCAGCTCTCTTCATTTCGACCTGCTGGAGGATAAGTGATATTTACCTCTTTCTTCTCTTCGTATGGATACGCGTCCATGCCCACTGGAACAATTGCAGCCCTGTAGAGGGTAGACACACACACAGAGATCATAATAGCAGTTATTTCCTCTCTGGGTTTTTTTTTTTCCTGGGCTCTGCGCTCTCCTCACTGTTGACATCACAGAGCTATGTGGGGATAAAGAGGCAGCGAAAACAATAACAGACCCATTGACCCTTATTTCACAAACTTTGGGGGGGTGTGTGGGGGGGGGGAATCCACTTACAAGCCTGGAACAGACCTGCTGATTGGGCCTCAATAGGATTTCTATTAGTGAACAGTGGAAGTGCAGCAGAAGGTCCTGACTGCTGCCATTTATGAACGAGGACGCTTCTGTTTGATAGTGCAGATTTACATCTAACCCCTCGAGCACCTTGGAGCGAGACGCAATTCTGAAGCGTATACCTCAAATCACAGGGGCGACTGGATAAGTGTGCAATGCAGTTATTGAACTATACATTAATCCAGGCTGCCTTGTAACATCAGTGATCTGATCATGTCACTCCTGCTGCGTCTATCTGACAAAAATAACTGTGATGGAGGAAACCTGAGGCAGCGGCGGAGGAACACAAGTTATTAGAGCAAAAAGATTTCCAGAAGCATGAGCACCTGTGCCCGGAATAAATTAATTCATCTGTTTAATGTAATTACTGCTTAATGTTCACACATGGAGGATAAGAGTCTTCACTACATTTAAAGGCACGAGTCCCTGTTAACACATATCTTTCTGAAACATATCAAGATTAAGGCGCTCATCCCAAATTTATATTAAAGCCAGGGGTTTTACTTTCAGCACACCAACCCTCAGACCCTCTAACTCACAGACATAAAAATCTTTAGGTTAATGATTCTGTAAATTTCCCCTCTCTCACAGCGTTAATTGCCCTACACAAGAGAAACATGGCTTTGGGAGTCAGACGTGATGATCTTCTGGCATAAGCATTAGAATGGAGGCTCGGCTTGCTTTCTCTGGATGCTGCTGGTTGACATTTAACATCACAGAGAGAGGGGAGGTGGAGAGCCAGGTGCCCTACATGCACATTTGACCCCCCGCTAATGTCAGAGGGGGAAGGTCCCACACACTCGTCCTCTCTTCACTCGCACAAAACACTATGTGAGGGCGCAAACTACCGGTCTCAGTGATAACGGACAGGATTTGGTTTCCCGATAGAAATGTTCTCATGGCGAGAGGTGAAATTCAACAGTGATATCATCCTTCCTGAGATCACACAACCATTTTAATGGACTGGAATTTAGCTTAAGGTCACACTCTACAATAAAAGGCGAATTTTGCATGATAGTTAAAAAATAGCTTCATGCAAAGAACTTTTAAATGTACCTTAACTGAGTCAAATTACAAACTGCCTACACAACATTTAATTTCAAGAGATCCCTTTTTTTTATACACACCGTTACTAATAAATACTCCTCCTCTCTGATTCGTCGTCCTCTGAAATTACAGATGTTGTTAAATGTGTAAAATTCAACAGCAACTAAGGCAAAAAATATGAAAAGAAGGAATTCATACTGAGCAGAGAACAAATTGTAACAAGAGAGGAAGATGCACAGTGGAGGACACTACACACACAGCCAGCAGGCCTGTAACCCAGTGCAGATGACCTGTTTCTGCTTGCACGCAACCATGAAATAACAACTGCTGTTTGGTGTTTGATGTTAGCTTAGGGAGCGCAGTGTCCCCGCTCGTCCTATGCAGACACATGTTACCGTCAGGATTTGTTTGCCAAAAAATTAGAAAAATAAAAAAGATAGCAGGGAGAAAAGAGGTCACACCCTGAAACAAACCAGGATCTACATCTACAGGGTTATTCACTGATTTGTGGCACATATGTCATCATGACCCACATCTTTTCTTTCTACACACATAGATTACACAAGATGATGTGTTGATAGTGGAACTGATGCCGTTAGAGATGCTTGATCATGTAGAGATGTCTGAAATTATGTGTGCGTATTTATAGGGGAAAGCAAAATGCAAAACAATAAGGTTTATTTAAATAAAAAACAAGCAATTGATCAAAAACGTGTTGTTATTAGCATCAAGAGTTCTTATTACTATCACACATAAGTATGTTTTTTTAAATAATTTTTTACAAGCTGATGTGTTAAAATTGTGTCAGAAAGCAGTTTACACTCAGTGGCAAATGACAAATGGGTTTAAATCTAAATGAATTTCATTGTTCATAATAATTAATATCAATACATTTGTTCAGAAGTTGGTGGTAGAAATATACAGGTTAATTATTATACTCATGATGTGCATTATAAATAAGAACAAGATGCCCTCTCTATCTTATGTGGAACTGCAGGTGTAACTTATAGACATTACAGAATCTTTTGATTTCAATCAGGGAACCAAAACAAACCAAAAGCAGACCTCTTCCAACTCCTCTTCATGAATATTCAAGAATACAGTGAAAGATTTTCACAAACACAACAATAAATAAAGTTTAGGGCAAACTAAATAAATCTAAATTTTTTAAACCAATGATGGTTATGTTATTTTAATTTACTGCTTCATACTTGCACATATTTACACACGTGAAGGCAAATATATATATTTTCCCAAAAAAATCACTTTTAAGTAGTTGAACTTTATTATTTATTTTAAACCTAAAATAAAAATTAAATCACACTAATTGCTGGACGACTCCTAACAAATGTATTACGGTTATTTTCTATCAATTATTGATCAAGTTTTAAAAAAAAGAACTGTTTAAAACAGCTTTGATGCACATTTTATAGAGATTACAGAGAATTGTGTGATGTTGTGGGGGGGAGGCCTGATGCATGATGCAGAAAATAAAGGGGCTGCTGATAGAATGGCTGCAGATATTGAAGCATCTCTTTGCTGAAACCGATGCAACTACAGCGTTTATACACCCTGGTGCTGCTGCAGAGGACACAGCCTGCAGCAGCGGTCTCTTCCTACAGGCTCGTGTATTTTCGTTTCGATTCGGTTCCCAATTCGTTCCACTGTTTCCCAAAAACAACAACACCGATGCTTATTATGTGGCTTCAATGCCCACGAGCACCTTTCAAATGAAATGAATGCGGGTGTTATTTTACCCGGTGCCAAGTGCTATTTGATCTCGAGTGAAATTAAGTTGATTACTAAGTATATTCTTAGCCTGTGTGTGTCATGTGGCCAAGCTGCAGCAGGAGGAGGAGGAGGAGCAGGAGGAGGAGGCCTGCTTTAGGATTTTAATGTAAATAACTGAATAGCTGTGGTTGAAAATGCACGCAAACACAGATCAGTAGCATTTCGACATCGCCTTCTAGTTTTGCACTCCATGTGCGTGTGGAGGGCGTTTCGCTCCTGCAGCCGCCCGTGTGTCTTCATGTAAATATTCACTGTGACACTGCGGCTGCCACTGACTCCATTATTTTCAAGTCATTTCGTCAGGTCGCTTCAGTGCTGCGTGTGCAGGCGGTTGTACCCCCTCTTTTCTGTCCCTCTGAGTCATCAGGTGTGGAGAACGACATGTCACCGTGCGCCTGAAATCCCACTCCAGAGAAGGCGAACGCAAATCCAGCAGAAGAAGAATGAGGTGCGGTTTGATATCGAGTCCAAACAGTCCCGTGTGGCCGCGTGTCTCCATCCTGCTGCTGCTGCGCACAGCTCCCTCTTATTAGTGCTGCAACTTTTACAAACTTCCACCTCAGCCCAAATGATGGAATGCGCATCTGCACTAGTTTATGTCTTTCTTTCTCCCCCACTTCTTTCACGCCCCCCCTGTCTCCCCCCCATGCACACCCAGTAGCTGCCTCTTGATTAATAAATGTTTATGTGTTTTGAAGTGCCGGACAAAAGGGGGGTGGCCTGTGACCCCGCGGAGATCCCGACCTTGTGCGCCCTCATTGTGAGGCGCTGGGAAAGGGGCTTTGGGACGGAGACCCCGGGCCACTGACCCACACACACATCCCGGAGCCCTGCCATTCATGTGCGCACCGCTGCATGTCGCCCCGCAGCTCCCATTGTTTCAGGGGGAACAATAGCCTCACCCCCCACCACCACAACCACCACCTCTCCCCCTCTCTCAAAGCAGCTTTCAAACTTCCCTCTATATGTAGCCTGACGCAAGGCCCCACTAGACCCCCCCTCTAACCCCTCTAAATAAAGAATAAAAATGTTGACAAAACGTTAAGGCTGTTAGTGGTGCGTTCGCCAGTGTTGCATCACTCCAGGACCCTTGCATCATCGCACTGGCTGGCGTCAAAGGCCCAAAAAAAACTGTAAGAGGGTGAAACAATAAAACAGTAACAGAGTGAAACTGTGAAAGAGAGCAGGGATGCGCATGGATGAGATGGCAGAAGGAGAGAGGGGGGGAAAATGGACCGTGAATAACACCTACAGGCTATTTCTAATGCTGGAATCAGATCAGGCTATATATTAATAGGTTGGAGGTATAAGTAGGCATTAGCAGGCCTGTGCGTTCAGCCTTGGCTGCAGGGGTTAGTGAGGTTACTCCAATGACATCATCCATGGGGCCCGGGTTTAGACATCTTTGCCTGGGAGTCAGTCACTGCAGGAAGTGCAGGGGGGGACACAGGCGCAGGACTTGCCACTTGCTTCAATCAATTACTACCTCAGTGCTGAATGCTCCACCAATGGCTTACAGAGCCTCTTTTGCAGGGAAAAACCAGAAGGTGCACACATGTAAAGAGGGAGCGAATGTGAGAAGAAAACAATAACGTGTTTCCCTTTTTTGGCCCTAAAGAGCAAAACATTGTGCGTTTTAGTATTTGCAATTTTGGACCTATAATCGAAACAAAAACACGTGTATCCTCACGATGGCTGCACAACACAACTGGACTCACATAATCTACGGAGTTGTTATCAGCAACTGCAACGCACTAATGAACCTCTCAAGACAAACGGCATTAAACATGATTAATTGCGGCGACGATCCGACTGCACATATTCCTAATGTAGAGGTGCAATAAATTATACAGCAGGCTCGTTATGGCTGCACATATAAAGTACAACGGGCCAGCGACACT